AACTTATTAACTGTAGCGCATTATAAAAGTCCATTCCAATTCCGTCATTGATCATGTGTTGTACACTCAACTGGGTAGTTTTTAAGATAAGTGACGTTAACACTTCAGGTGTACAGTTGATAATACTATTAAACCATGAGAAATATTACCATCAACCACGGAGTTTATAACTATTTCAAGAAGTAAACCTGTAGTTTTAATTCCTGTGCACATGACACTCCATCCTATCAGGCGAATCTAGAGGATGAAATATCCTCAGTAAACTAATGGTAATCCTACTGTTCCACACCTTTTTAATTAACCTATCACCAATGACTGTACACTGGTCAATAAAATGTTTTTTTGAAAACACATCAAGATACTATACCAGTCTGTTGGTGATATGTTAGTGAATATTTCAGCTTCAGGATGTCAGAGGGGTTCAAATTAATCACGAAAACCAAGAAAAAAGTAAGGAGTAAAATGATAATAAAGTCAGGTTCTCAAAAAACTAAAAGAAGAGCGCTACATAATTGGCAGTATGTATAGTGATAGGTAATGAGAAAAAGAAATAATTTTGCCAAATGGTGGATTTTCGGCAATAACTTAGTAAAAAATAAATAGAAACCAGGTAAACAATAATAATGGTACTGTGTTGTGCACTAGGTGATAATATCTGTTCTTGTTCTGATGAGACGTCTAAGAACAAATAGCAGATCTTAGGGAACAGCTGTGGTTCTCAGTTTGAGCCACAAATCTTATCACCGTAAAGAAGAAAAATTTGGATTTGATAGAGGGTGAGATCACTTATGCATGCTAGAATAGGTTCTGTAGATAGTCAAAGCAACAAAGGAAGCTGTACGCATTTTCTCTGAACCCAAGTATGACTTGTTCAAATGATTTCTGATAGCATCTGTTGTATTTGAACGAAAAACTGGTAAGGCATAAGTTCAGCCACAAAGAATACTACAAATAACTTGAAAGGTTGTGTAAATATCAACTTGACGCTCACAATCGACAAGACTTGACAGAATGGAGCTTCTTACAAATCTTGTGTCCACTAGTTAACAATGAAGGATGGTGTTTGGAAATTCGATAGTGAGCTTGCCTAACTATATGCTTCACTGGATCGGTTAAAATTGTAAATATAAGTGGAAGAGTTGGAATAGACAGTTTTTATTCCTTTTAAGTTCTTCAAATCAATCTTGTAAAGAAAATGTACTCCTTAAGGATGTGTTTAGACATTTGATACAGTCTCGTTCACACTGTTTTTCACAAAATACAGTTCCAAGAACAAGGATTTATTCTAAATCATGGGCATTCTGTTTCTTACTGTTTTCTGGAGAAACATGTATCATTGGACGTTTTACCAGATATCCGTTTCTACTGAGGGGATAATGGATATTGTTCAGTTGTCCATCGATAGCACATTATTAGTAGATAACTCCTGCTCAATAAGTTAAACACTTCACTGGTAATTATTTATGCTAAAAATGGACAGGACTCTAAAAATGAGTGTTCTAATCAGCTGAGGCTGGTTTCTGAGAAATGTATCTCATTGTTCCATCTACTCTTTCTGGCTTTCAGATACCATAGAACGGGATACTTTCGTTGCTTTCCTCTTGGTTGGTAAACACCCACGCTATACGAATTCTGTTAGATCATTTTGAGTTTACTATTCATGTCATCAATTAGATTTTTCAGCTACGCAGCGGAAACGGACAATCTATAGTGAAAACTACTCTATGAAGTTGCTAACCAGACGAAATCCATTGAAACAGTGATCAAATTAGCCTTAAATGCTTCTGACTTCTCAAGAATAGATCTATTTCATGCAGAATACCTGCTTCACTTAAGGTACGCAGATGATATAGTCCTTTTGGTCAAAACGCTGAGAAAATACAGTCTTCTGAACTTCTTGAGAGGGAGTTTGAGCATGTCAGTATGTGTTTTGCACCTGTCAAATTTTAGATTATGCTTGAGGATGTATCAATCCCTATAAAAGACATTTCAGTTGAGTATGGTGGAGCATCTGGTAACATTATAACGGAAAGTGACTAAACCAGAAAAGCTGTCAACTGTATTGACTGTTGTTGAGGCAGCAAAAACTTTCTGTCAAGTGTCTTTCTTCTCTTCTTGTCTTCGCACGTTGGTGGTATTGTTGTTGTGGTGGTGGTTAACGTTGTGATTTGCGTTAGATTTGGTTCGTCTGTGCTTTAGGTTCGTATCATTCGTGGTACTACCGGTCATAGCAAGAAACGAACATTCTAAGTCGTCGATGACTGAGTTAGAAGCTTTCTAGCTTCACTTATGGATCTATGCTGCTGTCGTATCAAGATGTCCTAAAAATACACACTGGCGTTTCAGTGAACCCATCAAAATAATTTTTTCAGCTTCTTTCTTAACTTATTTTCATGTGCACAAAAATTATGTGACGCATTTTCCATCTGATAAAAATGATTCTGTCAGTCACTAGTTAGACGTCGATTTTTACTTCTCACTGAAGTATGAGGTACTGGGTGACGGTCATTGTTAGTGTACATTTCAAGTAAATTTAAAAATTTAAAATACTTATTGTTGTGTTTGAATTAAGAGTGTGGCTTATCAGTTTTGTCCTTGGTACTTTAACATACTGAAGAAACCTCCGGAACTTTGATTCTGTCTTCTCTTACTATCAAGATTTCTAAGTTTAAATTTGATTTTAAGTATCACTGATGTCAGATAACTCTAAAAAATATTCAAACAACTGCCAAAATAACCAGCCAGGTTTTTTATTCGATGAAAATCAACCGATCCAGTAAATAAAGGAACCAAAGTGGTGATTTCAGCAACTACCAGGGTGGTCTTTAAAGTCACCATTACGTTGCGCCAGGTTACTCAGAGAGAAGATAATTAATTGTTTACCATCAGCCCATAAATCACCTTTTCCAGTAGACAAATAATTCCAAAGTGTGCTAAGGACAACCAACTTATTGGAAAACCCTGATATGTGCTTACAAGCCGACTTTCTAATATGAGCACACTTCCTGGCCACATATCCAAAAACTGCCTTGCATGGCTGTTGGAAAGAGGATGCCAATCAATCACTAGTTTTCTTTTCCGTCATCCAGTCAATTCTAGTCATGTAGCTTCATACCTGAATGACTTTGAAATTGTCTATGAAAGCAATGAAAACGGTCACAGATGAGTATGGTTTCTTATCTTGTTCACTGTACATGCTTTAGTATTTCATTTATTCAGGTTGGACCTCTGTGTGGATAAGAATTTAGTTAAGTCTGTTCCTTTTGTATCGTCTTACTATTAATGTGATGTCATCCATTATCCAGTTTATTGAGTCGATCACTACTCAGCGGTAGAGGTCAGTGGTATAAACTTGGGGCATTGCTCAGCTCATTCCAATCATCTAAATCCAGTTATACAGATCTGTTGGATTCCCGAAAAAAACGATAGGTGCAAATTAGTGAGATAATCAACTTTTTGCGATAACCTCTTAAGTCAATGTAACTGTTTGTTAACAGGGGTGACAGCCACATATGAGACATGATTTTTATGCCGAGAAATGGATTTTTTATCGTGTAAACTGAGTACAGCTGCTTCTTTACAATAGGATCTTAACTTGGCTTGGAATACATTTGAAAAAAGATAACTTGTTGCCTGTATGTTTCTGTAAATCTGAAGGCTGAAAAAATAGAAAATAAAACTTTTGTAACTCTTTGAGAAGCACAACTGCAGTTTGATAGTCAAGCAGATCCTGTTTATTCCTAATAAATTAGACACAGTCATTATAAGCAGAAAAATGTTTCATTGAGCAATATTGTCTCTTAACAAAAAATTACGATGAACTATTGCAACCAGATTAGTAATTCCAACAGATGGGAAGTATTATTGAATTTCCTGATAAGATGATCATTAATAGCGTGATATGTTTCAGTACAAATGTTTGTTACATAAGATGCAGATTTACGTCTAGATTGAGATTCACTAAAACGGTGAGATAAAATCGTTTTCGGGCATAATTTAATTTGATATTGTTGAATATATCATTAAAAAGCAACAGTCTTGTGGGAATCTTTAGTTGTTTGTAATACCATAAGGTTTCTTAGAACTGAGTACATCTTTTGATTTACCTGATAGGTTTTGGTATCGGTAGGCTTAGTGGCTAAATCTTCTAAGAAACCTACCATTATTTAGGCATCCAATTCTGAAGAATGAGTTAATCGGAAGACAAATACTGGGCAGTTCAAATATCCCCCACTAAATTTTCAGTTAACCCCAAACAGAAAAGAAAATGTGATCCTCATTTGTTTTTTTCATTAATTTTAAAAGTTCTACATACAGTGAAAACAAGTAGTGGATTCTCCTGATACGTCCTTCACGGTTTCAACTGTTTCACTGAAAATTTATTCTTTGATACCTTTTGGAAGAATAAAGTTGCAATAATGTTCACAATCTTTAGTTTCTAATTTGCGTAGTAGAAGTTATAATCGAGCAACATCGAGTCATAATCATCAAATTAAGTTTTAATACACTCTTCATTAGGAGGAACTGATTTTTAAATACCGTTTCTTCTCCTTGGTTATAGTGAAATTCAGTAATCAAATTTGCTACGTAATGTAGAGTAGTAGTTGATTTGCGTGGATCGTTCAAATACACTGATGATATGAGAAGTAGCAGCGATACAGATTTTCCACTTACTGGTCGGTATCTTCTTTCACTTGTTCAACTAATAGAAGTATTTTATTCGTATGTCTCATATCGTTGCAGCTGTTGTGTCCTAGATCTGATAACGTGACCGGTGTGACTGGTTGTAACTACAGTTACCGTTTCCTCCCTGGTCCTTTGTTCAATGCTCTGAAGGAGCTACTGGAATGCTGGTTCTATCTGCAATTAATGTCCGAGTTTGCCACTCACAAATTTGATTCGAGCTACAAAAAATGTTACACTAGCTGACTCAGAGAAAAGATCAGCTTTTTTTACTAGCCCACGATCAATGATAGTATATTTGAAGAAATGCATCCGACCTAAAAGTCATAGGTGGCCTAGTCAAAATGACAAAGGATGACAATGAAAGAAAATGAAGTTTAGATCACCCACTGCAAATAAGTTGTTGTTTTTATTCATATTGTATTAGTATACAATCATCATCCATTTACTTATATCCTCAATCAAGTTAGTTACTTCAAAATATTTTATTTGTACTGATGAGGAAAAGGTAACTCAAAACGAAAGTTATGATTTGAAGATTCGAAGTAACACTTTCGATAATAGACTGAACAATCTTCTACTAACTGTTTTATCTGTTTAAAATTGCACTTGTCAATCGGGAAAAGTAATAATCTGATTTAATTCCTTACAGACATCACTGAAGATGACATAGGTGCCACCGCGGAAGTGCTTTCTCATAAAAGCTTAAACTCGGGGAGAAAAAACACTGTCATAAGATTTATTTCATTACCCTTCAGGTAGTGCACTGCATTTTTATCCAAAGTTTATTCAGACTCACACCGTTAACGAAATGCGTTGTGTGCTCAATAGGTTAAATGTTCCCTACATGCTAATCTACTTCATGATGACAATGTGACTAATTTTCATGAAAATCTTACTTGTCTTTAAATTTGTTTAGTCTGTTAGGCTGTTATAAAAATGCGGATTGACTTCATACCAGGTGGCACGAAGTGAATCAGTATCAAAAGCTAAGTACATAATAATTTGAATTACGAATCATGTTCAATAATTCAATTCACGTATTTTCATGAGGGGTATACATCACTGGAATTCTAGAAAGAGGTGACTATGACAGTATTCCATTTACAATGATCATCTGTACAAAATTTCCTGAGTTAAAGTACCGCCCTGTTACATTTCTCTGAAAAATAAGATAGTTTTGTAGTTTTGAAATCAGAGGTCACACTAATTTCTTCGCAGCTGACAGCCATTGCAATTAACCTAAGCTGGATAAAACAATGAACGTTTTCAAATCAAATCCCTAGTGGAAAGTGAACTTCTTAGAAATTTCAAACACTTTTTGACTTTAAATTTCAAAAAACACGAACTTTTTGCTTAAGAATTCCGGTCTACTTTCCTTAAAAAAAGCAAATATGCAACAGAAGTGGGTGCAAAACTGATTATTAATCTTTTCTGGCACTAAAAATATTCAATGCACAATGTGTAGTCTACTGGAAACCACTAGTGACTTTATAATTACAAATGTGATATATATCACTAACCGATATCAGCAGTTGTAGATTGTTCACAGTAATCTGCAGTACTGTCCAAATACATTGAGATGATTCGAACAGCTGATGGTTGTTTACATTCACTCAAGACGATTCTTGTCATTGTTTTGATCAGGTTCGTCTGTTTTGGGAAGCCCTTTGATATGATCAAATCCAAACATAAATCCACTCTACCTCTCAAAATGTTCATAAAACTACAGCCAGATGCTTGCCAACTTCGTAAAACCATTACTATGAGTTGCTAGTCCACTCAAGTAGCCAGTCAGAACCCGGGAGGTTTGACGGACTGAGCTGTCTGAGATTGATCAGCATAGGTACACTACTGATAAGTGTGGCCACAAGGGGAAGAAAATGGTTGTCCAGTGTCTACATCACCTCAGTCTGGCTAGTTAGCTTCTCTAATTCTCGTAAACAGCTACTTACATCAACAAATGGTGTATATCGTACGAAAGTCAGTAAAACGGATGAATCCTTTCTAATCAAGAAATAAATGTCATTCACCTTTACTTCAATAGTAAATAGAGCATTTATATGAAGTAAAATGAGAAAAAAATTAATATCTGAACCCTCCGTTATATCCAGCTACACCTTTATTCTGCATTTGCAACGCCATGTGACCAACACAAAGGTTAACGGATCTAGGTAACTATTAATCTTTGCATCATACATACTACTAGTTTTTAATATGAGTTTTGGGTGAAAACTAAATGATAAAAATGTTTTACCTTCACAGCGTGAATAATTAATAACTTCTGCAACCCAAATACCGAAGCACAAATAAGTATACAATACATTTCCTCAAGTATGTGAATACTTGATGAGAAATAAATTGGCGATCGAGGGAAGCCACCTGTTTTGAAGATAAGAAGACATGCGATTAAAAATGTAGAATAACTGAGTACTTACCGCATCTTGGCTGAGTATTATTTAACTTTGTGTTTCTAGCTCTTCAGGGGGTCAAAACCATAATCCTGAGAGAAAAGGTGACTTTTGTGGTATTGAATTAGAATTCATTACTTGGTGTTTTGGAACTTCTATCAACTAACAAGAAGAAACTTAACTCATCATTTACCGAGATTTCCATTTAGATGATCTTCGAACACCGCTTGGTCATTCAGACGCTGAAGAATAAATACTGCTGGCGACTGACATTCCTGGCTGTGTTCTTGGTGAGTTGCTGTCTGAGTTAGGGTTTTAATTGGGAAAAATTTCTATTTGTACTGGGTTATGATTGAAGGTGGAATGAAAATCTGGACTACGGCCGGATTCGAACTGGCCAACATCGGGTTTCCGGTCCGGTGCTCTTTCAACTGAGCTACGAGGTCCGACTGCTGACCAGAATTTTATTTTACTTCGTAGCTCAGTTGGTAGAACACCGGGCTGGTAACCCCATGGTGGCTGGTTGGAACCCGGCCGCGGTCCAGATTTTCATTTCACCTTTAATCATCACCCAGTACAAATACTAGTCTGCCAAACTATGGCTATCTCAGATAGTCAAATCATAAAAATTCCTATGTCATGCAAGGCATCATCAACAGTATACCAGAGTTTCGCTTTCTGACGCTCTGACGCAAATATCAGTCACATTTCTTGGGTGAATGGTTTGAAAGTTTCGATTTCGATCCAGGTGGATTTATAGCTGTTTACTAGTGGTGTTCCTGAGAAAGACAAAACGTTTATCTGTAACTTCTCTATTTTTGTTTTTTTCCATAAGAAATGCCGTTTTGGTGTTTTGAACTCAACTGAAATAAGTAAAAACTCACCGCATCATTTGAAGATCAAATTTGATTTTCTAACTGTTGGAATAATTACCGACTTCTGAGACATAAAACTATGTAACCGATTACTGAGACAATGTTACAAATCCATCTAATTGTGTCACGTGCTGAAATTAATTTGGCCCACCTCGATAACAGACCTTACACAGTGCATTTAAATTATCGATTGTCTCTAAAACACGATCAATATAATACACTACAAATTACGGAGATAATACTTCATTTTAAGAATCATCTGACAATTTTCTGCTACCCTGTGTCACCTTGACAAAAATGAAAATCAATAAAAGCCAACAAGGTCAAGGACAAACAGCATGTTACTGAAATGATCAGTTGCACCAAAATTATTACTTGTCAAGATTTCATTTAGAGCAAACGTTACTAGTTTTTTAGTGGTTTGACCACATGCGATGTCTTCTCAAGAAGTGAAACAGATATTTATTTTCATGCAGGAACTATTACATGTATTTTGAAACGTCGTGTGAATTCGTTAGTAGATTACTTCTCGCTTATTTTGCTGTACCAGTGCTTTTGATCAGATGATGTAAAAGTTATACTTCATAAAATATCAAAAGGCAATAAATTTGGCAATTAGTTGGACTTACTGGAATAGATCGATCGCGAAAATTAATAATTTTCAAAATCTGCGAATATACGGTTACGCTTCTAAAACGCCACAGGTGTAATCAGTAATGTTTGTATGATTTAAATTCACTAGGTTCTGAAGTCAAAGATTTTCACAGCAATCACCCTTTCAGCATGTTGTAGTACTTTACAAACACCCCTTGTTTTTGATGAGTACTTCATAAACTAACTTCTCCTATTATCTCAGTGTATCAAGAGGAAGCAAAAATGAGGGATGCCGATTTAAAGACTTCGAACAAGGTATATTTAAAACTGGAACACCTTGCAGGTCTTTGTAGACCCTTATTTGCTTTAATTTTGATTGCCTAAAACTAACGCCGACACGACGTGTGACAATAAACATGAAAGCATAGTAAAGTTAGTTCTGTGAACGACTACATTCTGGTGGTCGTGTTGTCAGTATTCGATTCAGTTTAGCATATAGTCAAGGTATGTAAATGATTGTATAAAGGGCTAAATGCATCACATCTAAAAAACTGAACTTTTAAAATACTCATCAGTAAGTCATCTGAACAGAAGGTATTTTCACGCACTGTTAATACGAGGTAAAAATTGAAACCTGAACCTTTCCACGGCTATTGCTAAGCAAAAATAAAACTTAGCAATAAAATGGCTGGTTAAGAGTTTCCATTTCTGTTTTCAGTGTCCTATTTACATATGCTGTAGATTGCATTGTATGCAGTGACAAATTCATTCAAAATCAAGAAAGCAGAAATGAGTAAATAAAACCAATATTTGAACGCACTAACCTTGTAATTTATTTAACTTTTATAAACGAAATAGAAACATTTTCAAGTGTTTCATTCATATGATCAGAAAACCAAGTGACTACATGCGCAATTGATCATGCAATAGATAGTTTAATTATACATATGATAATAGACTGCTTTGAGTTCGACAGAAGATATGAATTTTCTGTGTATGTCGTTTGCAGTGCATTTTCCTTGAAACACATGGACATTGATACTCTCGACTGAAAAACCAGTTGACTCTAGCTTGGATCTCTGAGGAAACATTGTTTCCCTCGAGGTTATAGGTTCTTCGTGACCATGAGTACCAACAGTCACAGAACCTAAATTTAGGGCTTACTACCAATTACGTTGGACAATATATTATTATTATTTGTTTTTCCCTTGGGTTCCTAGTGGAACATACAGCTTCAGGAGTACGCGTCCAGTGCACTCTGTTCTCTTCAATCTTTCCAACCTGGCGCCACCACTGCACACAAGCTTTCAATTCTTCTTCACATGATCTCCTCCATGTCACCGTCGCCTCGGACGCCCAACTGGTCGTTTACCCTTTGGATTCCACTCGACCTGATGTCCCCAGTAGGCCTTCTCAGTGTAGACCCGATCCTTCTCCACTTCCCTCTGCATATTTGTTAGGTGATAGGTTCTTGGTTGGTTCATTGGCAGACCAGAGTGAGTTCCTTGTTGCTTATTCTTTCTCGCCGTCTAATCTTGAGCATCGAGCGTAGGTAGCTGTTGATAAATGTGTGTAGTTTGTTGGAGATGCTTTTCATAACGCACCAAGTCTCTTAACCATCACATAGAAGCACTGACTTACTTGACTGAATTAGTGTTGAAAATCTGGATCTTGTTATTTATGCTGAGTCGAGTGGAGTAGATCTCCACACTGATTTCAGGTTAATGAGGGTCTGTCTTGCTGTCTTTCAGATGCTGGTTTTGATGTCCTCATCTGTGCCGCCGCCACCGCCACCGCCACCGCCTGTAGTTGAAACGATGCTGCCTGCCGAGGTAGGTGAAAGAGGCAACTTCCTATAGATTTCTCCCGTTGATGGTGATTGGTGCTTGTTGCTATTGTCGTTGTTGGTTGGGTATCTTCATCACCTCTGTCTTCTCTACGTTCACCTGAAGGAACTCTCGTCTTCACTGCCCTGCCTCGCCTCTTCTGTCAACTTGTTATTTTTCGCCTGTAGATCTTCGAGTTTGTGCGACATAAGATATTAGAAATGAATCGTTGGCAAAATACAAATCTTCCAGGCTTTTTTCATCTGTCCAGTGTATGCCTCTCTTCTCGCTCCTCACAGTTTGTTGCATGATCCAGTCCAGTCCGGACCGGTCGACCACGATCAGGAAGATGATCGGTGATGGTAGGTGACCTTGTCTTACTCCTTCCTTCACTTCAAGGGGTCACTGAGCTTTCCATTGAGAATCACTTGACATGTAGCATCATATAGCATGTAGTTGCTGTTGAATGAGGTTGATAAAGGTTTGTGGCACTAACAGAGTTGTGTTGAAGCAGCTGCCAGCCAAATTATTTCTCGGTTGACGCTATCGAAGGAAGGCGTTTTCAAAGTCGATGAAGTTGAGGTACAGGTACAGTGGACTGCTATTCTATGTTGTTGTCAATGATGATGCGTAGTGTTGCAATTTGATCCGCACGTTATTTGTTGTTGATTTCACAAGTTAATTTCCATATTAAAAACAGGTTAGTTGCAAAAAGTTTCAGAGATTTCTTTCTGATTGCTATCAGTAAGGTGTTACAAAACTGCTGCTCCCATTATATGGTAGTAGTATTATTCTCCAACTATATTCTTCGGCGATAAGTTGAAGACATTCAATTTGAGCATGAAAAATTCACTCTGTTCAAAACCTCACTTGAAAACTAAGCAAGGATTGTTGCTATTAAAGGAATTATCAAGTAAAGATGTTGATGAATCACTATTCGAAAACAATTTTACAAATTAAGGGTACAAAATCAAATAAGTGGTACCGATTCAAAACTGAACAGTGATTGACTCGGATATATGTTCATAAGCATTCACGACTATTGGAAGCTGTTGCCACAACGCTAAAAAATTTGTTGAAAATTGATTCGAATTATTTGGCGAGTGCATGATATAAGTAATTCAATAACCTAGTAGCCAATGCTATGGAGTTTGAAATAATGCCTGCAGGGTTTGAGTCCAAGTGATAGCTATCCACTCATTGGGTAACGGCACACGTAACTGAAAGTTTCTAAATACCTTGCGATGTTTGTCTTAAGCTTCACTGCTAGTCACTATCAAAATAAAATCAAAACCATTCAGTACGAAAAATCTCATACAAGCACTAAATTTAGGCATTACTCCAGCTTCTACAAATTTGGATCTAGTTATAGCTTATGAAAGGGTCTGTGCTGCATGCACCAAAAGTATTCTAATTATGTCATCAGCACTATGAATTTACATATTTTCTAGAGGATGAACACACTTCTCAAGTGCATTCCGTTGATCCAAATATACTGGAGCAAAAGTTTCCCCCAACTAGGCTTAAGCTTTTCCAATTGAAATATTGTCAAAATCCAGAAATCAAGACTTTCTAAAAGAATGCTCATTCTCTGAATTACAGTCGTGTATGGGCCAACAATATTTGACAACAGATGCTGATCTTTATTCCTAAGAGATTTGTGTAGTTAAAAGCGTGTGGTCAGACTTCCACACAATTTGACTAGTCGTCATTCAGTTTCTTGAGCACGATTGTCTGCTAGTCTGATAGTTTTCATGTTTTGGTTTTATACTTTGAAACTTCAAACAAACCATCTTTCTTAAACGATGAACTTGACATTTTCTCATACCATCATACTAGTGGGTTTTAGTTTGTTGAAATTCAGGTACAAAAAGCAGTAGCTGATGTCTGCTTTCAATAATATCGCATTCACAGTCTGTAAAATTGAATCCTAAATAAGGAATTCGACTTAGCAGGTAGAGAGAATGTAGTTACACTCAATAGTACAAGACAATCGATGAATTGTCATCGTTCACAACGATAAAATACAATGTACTTTGAAAACTGAAACTAGAAAGTGGATGAGTAAGGTTTCAAAAGCGTCACACCACATTGAAAAATGTTATAAGTGGTTGACAATTCGACTGAAATCATGCAGTAAATAAATGTTATTCAAATGAAACGCCATAGAAATACAAGGGTTATCTAATCCAAATGTAATACGACAAAACTAGTGGATAAGGAATAAAGCCTATGTCAAACTGTCAAAATTTTCTATAGCTAATATCTGTTGATGTGATTAGTAGTAAAATAAAGGAATCAAAATGCTTTGTAGAAATGCTGTGTGTTTTCAGACTTCGTGGATTGAAGACACAATTACTTCTTATACTTAAACGTTTTCGAAAACGTTTTTAGCGAACTGAACTATGTAGCACATATAGGGCATATTTTTGTGATCTGGAATCCATTTAAGGCAATAAACAATCAGTTCAATGTTAATTTATCTAAGTGTCCGGGTACAACTGCTATTCAGAACTTGTCTAAAAATGAGGCATCTGTTAGCATTTATTTTTTTGGTAGTCAATTTCTTTTTCTTTCTACATTATAAGTACTCTCAGTTTCTTCTTGAACCCCCTTCTCTAGAAATGACTTATTACATTATCCATTTTATTCTATTGCTTGTCCCTAATTGCTTTGACCCTTAACTACTTCACTTCCAACCTTGAGTTCATATGGTTTTGACTTCGTGAAAGATACCAGTTGAATAAGATTTATGATTCTATTCAAAGGCTGAAATGTGGCATAAGAAAATAAACTTTTCAGTACCCTAATTGTCAATATTATTTAACATTTTTGCAAACGTGGGTAATGTGAATAATGATTTGTAGCCCGAATCCATAGAACTTAAAGTTTCTATGAAAACTAGGCATTATTTATCGACCCTTTCATGCTCGTTGCCTTGAAATCTGTCATCAATAGACAACAACAGCTTGTTCTTCCGATGACCATATAAAATTTAAAAATTAAAGTCTATTTAACATAGTTTCATTTGTCATATTTATGCTAAGAACATAGTGGGAAGGCTCTCAGTGAGATCATTTGATTTTGAATAATAAATACCGAGACCCGCAGCTGTTTAGAATGTCATGGGGAAATTTAAACTGAGTCCAACTGATCAATAAAAAAGAAGTTTAAATAAGATCGCAGCATGAAAATGCAAATATTTTTCCTGAAGAAGCTGAGGCTAAGACAATGAAATATTCAAAACAATCTTGTTTTGATTTTCTAATCAATCAAAGCATATTTTTATAATCATCTGAATTTATCAGTTTAACCATATGAGACAGACATGATTTTGCAAAACTTGTATTAATACTGGATGATGACTGGAGGTGAAATAGAAATTTGAGCCGCAGCCAAATTCCAGGAAGAAAATCTAGTACCAATACCAGTCTGCCAAACCACGGCCGTTTCAGATAGTCAAACTGGTAATATATATGTTGCTCATCCCTTTTAATTTAAGTAGATTTGCCTTGGGATGAGAAGTCTTGACTGGGCAATCAGTGTAAGTACGACCAAATGATAGTAACGCATCACGAATCCACATGGCATTTGGCCAAAAACCTTGGTGGTTGAAGTGAAATAAAAATCTGGTCACCCGTCAAGTTTCATTGCTCACTTGGTAAAGCACTGGGCTGGTAACCCGATGTTCGCTGGTTTCAACCCTGTCTTATCCCGAATTTCACCTTGGATCAACACCCAGCATATAAATTCCCTCAAATAATCAAGTTTATGGTGATTAGTTTTATAGACCATGGCGTAAATACAGACTTTCTGTTCTTTATCCTATGTTCAGATAGATATATGTTAAGGCATATTTTCGTGTATAAAAATAGCAACTGTAGTTGTCAGTGTCCGTTTACGTGCACAACTTATATTGTGACCAGTATGCCATATTGGGGTCATAGCATACAAATATTAAATTGAAGCCAAGCATTTCTCAGAAAACCATACCAATTTTAATGTTATTTCTATGTTCACCTTTGTTTCCACAAAGTTTGAATTTCGGAACAATTAGATGTCGACAGAATCATATTTTCGCAGCTATTATTTGATTTATATACTTTTAATTCAGAAAACTGCAGTTGTTCTAGTAGCGGGTTTTGGGAGGACAGACTTAAAAAACAATGCACCTCCTCCTTTCCTTAAGTTATTTTTAGTCTAATGCATGGGTTTAGACATTGGTTTGAACAGCGATACGCTTAAACTATGCCTCTATGCGTTTTATATCCAGGCTCCAATCACACAATGGTTGACCACTTACAGCTTTGATTTACTCTGTACAAATGTAGTTAATCATATGACCCTGACTAACCACAAGCAGGCCAATAACGTCAAGAGGAAATCTGAGCTACTGATTGGCTTATTAATACCGGTTCACAAAGCAAGTTGAACATTACGATAATTCTATTACTTGGTGAAAGCCTGAAATTAAAATACAGCTTCGTAAAGATAACTTTTGAAGTCATATGTGACAAACTTAGTATTAGGCTCAGTCAAATCTTCTCCAAAATCTTATTACAGTAAGCATCTTCCTACATGTTAAATTATGGCGCTCCCTTTTTATACACATAAGTTTTGGAATCTCCCCTGCTCATCGATACGTCTTTTTGTTTTATAGAATATTTTGACAACTGTATTATTGTGCTTTGAAGCACCTAGGCAACTCAGTTTAAACAACTTTAGTCTAAGGTTAATTTTTGAGAATCAATTTGGTCACCGAATAGTTTGCACTATAGGTGCTAAGTCCCTAATTCTGATCAATGTAGTCGTCGAGTTAAATTAAATGACGTGTGATGAACTGAATTTTTACGACACACGTTAAGAATTAGTTGCCAGGATGGTTCACTGTTTAGTAAAACTCATCAATTTGATGTACTGCGATATTGTGCGATGGCTTTTGACTCCTACTAATTGAGATGAGAATTTAGGTCACGTCATCGGTATTGTAGTAAATGCAGGAATCACTAACGAAAATGATTTACCCGATAAACTGAAAACGCTTGATAGTAGCCTTGTATCCAGTGGATACTATTCATAATCAGCTGGGATGTTTAATCGAGGTTGTCCTACTTCTTAGATCTGTTTCAGTAATAAGCGAAGAAAGTAGGCCTTGAAATAAAACTGAAAACTTTTGGAAAAATTTATATGGGTTTTATTTACTGAAGCAGAACTTATCACTGAAGGTGAAAAATCTGCATTTGACCTCCTTCGTTATCAGTACCACTGAACGTCAAATACAGTTAAATTACACTATGTATCACGAAAACCTCTCAGCAGCTTATTTCACATTTTATGCAGGTTTCTAGCACAACATGTTTGTTTATATTGGACTGATGAAATCATAGTTTGTTTTCCTAGAGAAGTGACATGCATCCATGAGAACTGGAAAATTGTCTCGTCCTAATTGCAGACTCCTCAGAAATGCATCTTATCGACTCATTTTTGAGTTGTTTCGAGATCGAATCTTTAAAGTCACTTCACGTTTCTTAAATTGGCTGAAGTTTGAGAAAAATCACTCACGAAGTTCGAATATAATAAATTGACAGTAGCATCCTAACCACAAATTCAGGGTTTCGCTTTCGACGCTGTAGGCAATGTACTACTTGGATAAGTCTCCGATTAGAATGAGACATATGCATAAAGCTACCGAATTTCCACTGATTTCCCTGTTAGTTTTAATTTATGGTAAAAAAATATTTTTAAACAAGATTTATGAATTTATATCAAAGTATAATTTCAGTTCACTTATTGAGAACTCACTTACTTGACAAACAACATATAGAAGCCTTTTGTCTTGTATTTGGAACCAACCATTCAACAGGTGGCGTTGAATTTGATGACAATGAAGAGTCTTGTTATGAACATGTTTTGTAATAATAATAGTCATAGTACCCTTCTACTTAGCGTATAATCTCATATTTATCCCATTGAAGATATACGTGTGTACATGTCGACTATATTTAATTCATCCCATCAATAAAATTGATTCTATCTATATACACTGGTATGACAGCGGCCTAAAAGCGATCAACAATAATTCTCTTTCAATTATTTAAATTCTTCATTAATTAAATTAAATTTCTACAACGAATAAGAAAGCACTATTATTATTATTGTTTTATTTTTACACTGACCTTTACTTTGGAATGTCTGACCTAATTCGCTGTTGTTCATCAAATCTTCATGCTTTTAACATGTAACTCAAGCAAACACTAATCACATAAATGTAACAATCTATATTTGTCTTATTATCTATCCACCTACCATTTATGAGTAAATTCAACTACACTGACACATTAGACATGCACAGATGTACATATTTATATGTATGTCTTGCACATGTACGCATACATACATATATATTTGAGTACTGAGAATTAGTGGCTTTATAATCAATAAATCACATCCAATATAATTTCTGTCACATCACAAACACAGATTATGACGAAATGTTTAAATTACTCAACAACATATATATAATCAAATGTGAATTTAACAAAATTGTAGCATTCTTCTTTTGCTTCATATTTATTAACATTATTACTGTTTATATTACTTCTGCATGAGATTGTTAACACCGTCATCACCTTCATTATAATACGGTTAACATAATTACTGTGATTGTTAACTAATTATGGATTATCTTAAACAGTTTTCAGAGATCGATAAAAATCGAGATGGGGTCATAACAAGACGGGATTTATTCAAATATGCCTTAAGTATTGGTGAAGATATGTCTATGGTGGATGTAAGTTTTGAACTGACTTATATGTTATTTCATAAATAAGTCAAACGAACACTTACTTATATTTGTTCGGTTATCATCTTTTTTAAAAACAGCTCGTAATCTGACACACTGAAAATGTAAGTGAGGGATGCAAAGAAAACTTGACACTCGTTTTCATTTTTTGACAGACTGATTACAGGAATACACATGAAATGTGATGTGCTAAATTAGCAATGAATATGAATGCACTGTGTAATGCATTCCATAAAAAACCAAGAGCTACCTAGATTTATTTTTTTCTAGTAGAATTAACACAGAATGTCGTTATGCAATGGAACGTTCTTAATACTTAAAGTCATTTCTATGGATTGCGTTTCTTTAAAAACAATAATTCGCATCAAAAGATTTAGACAAACACTCCTTGCTTGCTCCAGAAGTAGACAGCTGAAGAAAACTAAATGCAGTCACTTCAGAATTTCTTCAACAATCAACTGGCCTTAAACTCACTTTACTCTGACTCTGGAATATAATTTATTTGTAGTGATCACTACCACTTCCATATTAAATTGGTCTATTTGTTACAGTACACAGTTTTATTTTCTGTCGAATGACGTTTTAAGTACAATTTATGGCTCATATTCCTGTCAAGGTCAAGTCATCTAGTAAATAATGTTATATCATTATTCTGTATTAAATAGACTATTCTAAAACAGAATTACATTCTACCAGTGACCATATTCTATACTTATACTGATCGTGACTTCTTATCGTATTGTTATTTTTGTATTTGCTCGGACGAGATGGTGTATCCCTGTAAAATTCCTCCATAATTTAGAGTATAATCATTATCAGATAAATGAAGAGCATTCATCTACATTCTGGGAGAGATTTACATGTAGAGGTAGGTAGTCATTGAATGAAGTAGGAAGTTAACAAAAAAACGAACATACTCATGAAAGAGACCAAATTTCGTAAAAATATACTGCTTACCCATTCATTTTACCATTGATCAGAAAACGCTGACTTCACTACCCAGAAATATGAACTACTCTAACATTTTAACAGAAAAAGACAGGTAAGACTTGAAGCATAAGGTGATATCGTGTTATTGTGTAGCTTCTCATCCATTCTAGACATCCTGAAATCACAGTGGTTATGATGTAAAACAACATAGCGTACTGTAGTTGTAGAAAGTTGTCCTAAAGATATAACGAACTAGTGCAATCAGAATGCTAAGAAAGTAGTAAGTAGTGCAGACAAAAACTTCAGTTCAAGCTTCTTTGTCAAGTGTACAGTGCTAGCTCTTATATTAAGGTTCATAACTAGTTTATACCCATTGTTATAAGAGCAGAAACAATTGTAATTAAAGAGATCACCAACTCTACACGTCTTTCCTGAAAACAATCTTATCAGTAGTGCTATAATTTTTTTATTCCAACATTGAGATCGAAGAAGTTCAATTCATTGTCGTGAAAATGTTCCTTTATAAATTTGATATTAGAATGCATTATGTTCATATTAGCAAACACATGATTTTCATGTTTCATATCATTACAAACGACAAATTCACCATCTATATACCTATGGCAATAATTTGTTCCGTTATGAACTGAATTCAATCCTGTCTACTTGAAATAATCAACACAGATACTTGCTAGGATGTCTCAGTCTTAAACCTTTTGCTTTTCCAGCAATCTGTCTACTAACTTAGTTACTAAATTAGGACGGCACGCCTTGTTTGCAGAAAAGTAATAGTCTTCACTTATCACTTCCTGTCGACGGCATTAAGTGAACATGTTGAAAAATTATATCAATCTTTTGAGTCACTGGTATACTTGTGAGTAATGCAGACACATCATACGATAACATGGGTTCATCCAATGCGTCGACACAATCCATTTCTTCAGAAAACTGACTGAATTATTTTACAGACTACTTTATTTTCAAAGGACACTTCGCTTGCACACACTTATACAGTGGTATATGCAGATGGGTAATAGCTCAGCGAATGGATGACTTGCTAGCTATAAATTGCATTTTTCCTGCCTGAGTTTTTAAAAATTGAGTAGAATTATCAATGGTTTGAATATTTTACCAATTTGTTTGAAAATAACTCGGACGCGATCAGAGTTTGTGATTTCTGACAGAAAACTATCATAAACTGTTGCAATATACTGGTAATTATCCCATAGATTTTTTCTCCATTCATGTCCATATCTATCCATCTGTTTGGTCGGCATAATTTAGTTGTGTGTTGAGTTTACAAGCGTAAACTATTGATGAGACTGGATTTAAACAATCAAACCAGCCATCAGGTGTGTAAGTCACTTCGATATAGTTTTCTAAGATGTTCACATAAGAATGAGTTTCAATGAATCACTGTGTTTGTTCAGTTGTACATTGTCGTCGCGTTCTTTGAGAAATTATGCACAAGATCAAGAACAATTAGAATGCATCTTCAAAAACCTTTTGAATTTATCGACGCAGATTTCACAATACCTTAAATAGTTATTATCATTTTTGTGAAAACATAACAAAGTTTTAAGTGTATTCATGACTGACATTTAAACGCTTTAATGTTACACTGACTTGTGATCAATGCAGTATTTCTAATCTCACTCGAATAACAGAATATATCGACACTCTATGATGCATGAAAATATTGAGTGAATTCCAGCATCGAATGAACACTAGGTTGTGGTGGGCAAATGAATATTTGCTTATGACTGGTACTTGATGACTGAATGTATTCAAATGGTGAATAACCCTGAACCTCATCTGAGTAGATGTTGAAGGTTAAAACTTCTGGTGAACTGAGTGAGTTGTAGAAGTATATTATAGGAAAATACTGAGTCACCTGAGTGTAACAGACACAAATGAGACGGTATAGAGTGATCTCATCAATGAACTGGAAATATTTACTTGAGGAAAAACGTTGTGTAGCAAGGTGGCCAGTATGCTACATTCATATTGGTGAATAGCAGTGAAATCCAGGACGGGTGTTTCATCCTGTTTCGGACTTGTCAACCGAATGTACCTGCACTTCAGTGAGTAATTTTATTAACACTTAAACTCAAACTCAGCATTTATCCATTCGAACGCCAATTCGCTACCCACGAGGCTATTAGAGTTCTATAGTCACCTCTCGTGCAACGGGTATCAGTTGCTGTTTCGATGCTTGTAATTTCCCGTTGCTATGTAGGGCAAAACTGCTCTACCTCAGCATGCTTTATTCAGTGACAAATGCATGAACGAAATCAATTAATAGTTTCATGGAATGTCTAAAAGTTTCACCCCAGCTTAAAAATCCTAATAATCATACTTGACTTGATTTAGAAATGTTGATCTCATAATACTTTTTAGAAAATGTTGTTGTTGTGGCAATGGCTTGCAAAACAGACTGATATCAACTTTAAAGGTGACAAAGGACTGACCAGCGACATGATTTGAATTTCGAACCCAACCCGTAGTGGAACAAAAACTCGGTGTCAGATGATATTATACAAGGGATCTGACGGTTTGAAGACTATAATATCACTAGTCAACCAATAGACTGAGGCTTCTTGCATGACACACCAGCCTTTGATCAGTGTCACTGGTGAATATCCAGTCACACTCAGCACAATTATTCTGACCCATTTGACCAAAAGCACTCGACAAGGCATTTCATCATCTACAGAGCTAAGCAATCATAGACTATTTACTTATTGTCTGACCGTCAAGTGTTCTGGAGCACTAATTTCCAAGCTTCACAAAAGATTTTGAAAAAACCCTCTTTTTGTTTCGGACATTGTAAATGGTTATTGCTTTGAATGAGGTTCAAAATATCCAGTACATAATCTTAGGATAAGGACGTTTATTGTCTGCATTTTCCATCAATTCCTCAGAATAAAATAAGTGTATGAACCACAATATCTGAATCCTAATACGATGTACAGTAAATAAGTGGTCATAATTGTCTTAGTATCATCATATGCAATGACTGTGAATGATCAACTTGATAAGTACTTAATATGATGTTCAACAGCGCTGATTATTACATGATTTCATTTTCACAATTCGTATTAAGTGGATATTCAGGAAAGAACAGGATATCTAGTTATCATAGCTTTGTTAGCTTGATATGCATATACAGTAAATTTCATCATTGAGAATAGAATCAAGACATAACCCTTTCAGTGTCAATCGCGTTGCTTAAACAGCCAACTTCTTGATAAGTTTACAGTTGGAAATTAAGTGAAATGGGAGTGAATAATGAATACACAGTTAGGACTCCAAGCAAAGGTATACTATGGATTTTAGCATTCCCGATTAGAAATGACTTTTTAATATGATCCTATAACTAAAAGACCTTAATTGACTTCCGTTGAAATACCTGGAAGACATTTCCAATTTTGCTACCCTATTTGCACCATTTGAAACCTTTTTCATTAATAACTCTGTGTAACACATAAGACGCTAAGTGAAGTGGCCATACATCATAAGTTGAAATCACAAAATGAAGTTACCGCTGTTTGCAGCATTTTTATCCTAAACGTGAAATTACATCTGTTAAGGAAGTTTCCAGTACTTAAAACAAATTCAGAAAAAATTATACCACCCAACTGAAACATGGTTTCAGCAGCTACTTCAGTTATGCAGTTCAGTTGCTAATTGAAACACCATACAACTTATATGTAGAAACACACAAAGTAGTAATTATTTACAAAATTTAGGCTTCAAGTTTCGTCATTCGAAGAGATAGCGCTCAGATAGGTTGTTCGATAATTGAATCACCAATGTTCTTATACACAGTCAACTTTGTTTTTCTATTTCTGGTGATTCTACTGTGAAGTATGACAAGATTAGAAGATTCATTCAAAATTATTATACCAGTGTTAGGAATGAAGTATAGGTTAATTTTTAAACTTAAAAAAAATTAATAAACATTGAGCCACTATTAACAGTGTTTCATTCTCTTATTTTTTGTTTTTAAGCTGAACTTATTTGAAGGTTCAGGATATGTCAACATATCAGTCAGT